GCAAAGTAGAATACAAAACTTTAACTTGTTCAATTTATCAAAATGACAGCTTTTCTCATTACAACACAGATAACTGATCACTGAATGGTAAATGGCACAAACTAAGATAAGAGTTTGACTCTATAACATTTTATTTCAAGGCTAAGAATCCTGTGATCTGTCTATCTTTCATATTCTGTAAGAATATGAGAATTAATCAAGAATGGTCTGATTGACAAGACAGTATTTAGGATGTCTTTCAATGACATCAACAATTTCAATTTTGTCAATTTGTCAAGCACACAAGTTTAATAACATACAGATTTCCAGTTTATGTAGATTGTATAAAGTTCTAATTTGTGTATATTTCCAGGTTATGTAGATTTCCATTTTGTATAGATATCCAGTTTGTGTAGATTGTGATTTACATCTTACATTTACAACATTTAAATTATTTATTACATTATTACATCTCTTTAAAAATAATTTTTTAACTGCAATAATTTACTCCCTTTAAAAGAAATCAAGCAAAATATACTGTATATCAAGAATGTTTATACATGTTATATTTAGTGTGAATAATATGATTTGCACATGATAAAGATTTAGAACACACTTTTATCATGTAATATCATACAATGTTCTTTAATATACTAACAGTTACTTATTGACTAGTTGATATCTGATTGGACTGTATTGATATCGGCCTGAATGAATGAAAATATCACCAGTAATATCTATGAATGAATGGTTTTAAAGGTTTTCAATATCAATTGATTTAATAATGTCCCAGCATGTCTATTACTATTATAATGTACACCATTTTTTATTTTAGAAATATTTCAAGTGCACTAGACATCTTTAAAAGTTTTTTTTGATAATCTAATAGCACCTCAAGTCACTTGAAAAAGTTTTTAGCATTCATGTGTCAAGAAAGATATGAATAATGACTTTGTGTACATAAAATCAATGCCTAAATACTCCACTGTTTATTCTTTAATTCAGAAGATTTGTGCAACAAAAATTGCATAGACAACTATTATCTCAAATTTTCTGTAAACCACAACCAATTATGTATTAATCTAATAACGTGCAAAATAATGTGCGAATGAAAACATTTGTCTATGAAAAACTGTGTGCTATCAAATGAACAATAACCAGAATGAAATAAGAAATTCAGATAATTTTCAAATATAATTGTAGAGTAAAGGTGATCAAGAATCAAGATGGCTGATCAAAGGATCACAACTGTTTTTCATTTGCTACAGTTCTCGACCAAACATCTTGACAATTCTTCCTAGATCTGCTATAAATTAGTTCAGAAATGCCACAAATACTAAATGGTTATATTTATTTGTCAATGTCAAATTTTAAAAATCAAATCAAATGAAATAGTGAAATTTAACATAAATAACTGTCTAACCATGGTTGTTAAAATAGCTTAGACTGAGTAAATGAATTACATAATGACTTTAACAAATGTCCTTCAGTTGACATTTTTAATTTGATAAATAGATTAGTCAGCAATATTTCAATATATAGAAAACATACAGTATATCAGCTATAAAATCATGACAATTTCAATTCTATACACAATTCTTATACAATTGAAATTCTGAGTTCTTCGTTAGAGTCGGAAACTTTACATGACATCATTTGCTTACTTATGTTGAACAAATGGTGGTTAAATGTTCTAATCTAGGTCATGTGAAAGTCTGGTGACCTTGAATAAGTCATTTTGCCCCATTATTTCAATCCACCTACAGTATGATTATGCAGGAAAGATCAATGCCAAGAGATTTGTCCATGGACCAGCTAGAAGAAAGGATCTCATGAAATTAAGTTGTTATCCTTGTAAAAGGAAAAAGCAAGGAAACTATATTCATGCATAGTCGAAGACCATTCAAAACATTAACACACAGTCCAATTTATTAAGTGGTAGTTTATATGCTTTGTACGAGTAAAAAGGTAAATCATTGGTACAAGGTGTCTATTATCAAGTCAAAGAGTCATAAAGAGAAATTAATAGTTTGAGTTTGTTGCAACAAGTAGTGTGAATATATTTATAAAACTTGTATTCAACGCATAATTTAAATAGATAGCAATTATTACCTTTTATAAGAAATGAATCATTTTGGTATAAAATATGTCAGACCCACGCAAAGAGGAAAATGTACAGAAAAAATATCTTGCAAAGCTTTATCATTAATGACTAAAACTTTTACGTCATAATTTGCATTTACCACAAAAGCCAAATGAGATTAGGCAACAATATGTATTAAAAGTGAGTCAGATTGTTCTTTTTACAAGTGTAGTTTGTATGTCCTGCTTAATAAAAAAAAAACAATGTGTGGGCTGTAATTTGAATACAATTTTCAAAAATGCCCCGGTACAAAATCGAAAGCAGAGGAATTTTTCGGCCATGGGAAATTCTGTTGACTATTGCCAGGTATCCATTCAGTCGCAAATTCAAGAAGATAAATTACAAAAAACAAGAAATTTTGATGCCATAACCTATGCTTTTGTGAGTTGACACAATTACATGATCTTTATGACAAATTTTAGTATTTGATACATGTACATCATGGTCCAACTTGACATATACTGTGTGACCTTGTGTTTTAACTAACAATGACTCAAGCCAAGTCAGTATGAAATATTGAGATAGTTAAGTTTATATTACATTATACATGACATTATATAAGCGATAGTTAACGCATTTTCTTAACTTTTTGTGTGCATTGGGGACAATGATAGCATCGATTTCTAATCTTCTGTTAGATAGCTATGATGATTCTTGCAGTTCTACTAAATCTAAGCATTAAATGACATCACTATCACAAAGGGCCTTAAAGGCCTTTGATATTATTTTATTATTTTAATTTTTATGATAGTGACATCATAAAACACTTAGTTTTAGTGGAATTTCAGGAACTACAGTCACATGAATTAAAATCTGAATAGTGCAAATTGATGGTATCAGTGATGCGGATACCCATAAAATTACAAAATTTACAAAAACTCTTTACAATCCCTTTTAGTTGTTATTTTTGGTGGTGATCAGATTTTAACTGATCTTATATATACATTAATATAAGCAAAATGAATCCATAACAATTTAATATCTTATTTCAGACGTAAAAATAACTGATTCAACAAGTTTTTTGATTGTTTTGTGGTTAACCTATATAATACAAGCTTGGTATAGATTTGTAAGAAACCAATCCTAGTTGGTGTAGATATACAATAGAGTTAAAATCAACACTATCAGTAGGGGGGTTTATTCAAATTAACATCTATTACAAAATAATCCTATTGAATAATGACAGGGTTAAAGCACCTGGATCACGTAAATTTGTAGTTCAAAAAACCTTACTTGGCTTAATATCATATTAATTCATATGACAATTTTATATTCATATATCACAAATCAGCCATTATAAAATCATTGGTTTAGATTGATGGTATTGAAATGGTTCAATAGCATACATGATAAGGTTCAGAAATGGTTGAAATGGTTCACTGATTTGTACATGTACAAGTGATACATCATATTATAAAAGTGATCTATGATGGTTGGAAATTGTACTTTTATGTACATCACATATACATGCCCAATAATACTATTACAACTTTGTACATATAACTACATATACCAACAAAACATTGTATTAAAGTGATAAACAAAGGTTCAGAAATTGTACATTGCTGCACATCCCAAGACTGTACATAATTATATACCTATACTTGTATGTACATCACACAAACAGACAAAACAACAAATGTGTACACGTAACTTAGTTCAAGAAAATCACATCTAAAACATATATTTTAAGATATGGAAATACAAGACTAAATCAGTTTAATGCGCACACAATCGATGTTGAGATAAGATATGTTATATGAACAAGTTTGTTGTTTGTATGATGTATGAATAGATATGATCATATAGAGATAGCAAGCCTCAAATAATACACTTTTACACAATACCCCTTTATATATACCATAGGAAAAAACCTTTTTACCATTCATAATTGGAGCTTAGACAATACTCAATACTTCAACAAGATTGAGGTAAAAAAAAATTCAATGTGTACACAAGTCGTTCAAGTATACACAGTTTGCTAGGATAGCGAAAATAAGACCAGGTTACGAAAACATGATTTATTAAATTTACGGTGGGATGGGTAAATCTGTAGGTAAACCTCAAAGTTAATTCAATGAAACTGATAGTATTATTTTTTTTCTCTCATTCATAGGAAAGTTTTAATACAATAAATACAGGTACAAAATACTCAGAAAATATAGGTTAAATTTTTCTTTAAACTCTTTCCAAAAAAAAATCTATAAAGTGTAAAATAAAAACACTTTTATTATCCCTGTATGATTGAATAATGTTAAAATTTATGTTTTTATCACTTCATCATTTCTTCAACAGAGATAAGCTCTCCCATGTGATTTTATTATATCTTGCTAGCATGTTTTGAATTTTCACTAATATGTGATCTTTGACATGATGTATGATTTGATCTTTGATTTGATGTATGGAGTAATCTTTGTTCTCATTTAAATGATCTTTGTTTTGATGTATGATGTAATCTTTGTTCTCATTTAAATGATCTTTGTTTTGATGTATGATGTAATCTTTGTTCTCATTTAAATGATCTTTGTTTTGATGTATGATGTAATCTTTGTCTTCATTTAAATGATCTTTGTTTTGATGTATGATGTAATTTTTGTTTTGATTTAAATTATCTTTGTTTGGATTTAAAATACGATATTTATTTTGATGTATGGTTTGTTTCCTGTCTTGATTTTAATGATCATTTGTTTTGATTTATGATGCGATATTTGTTTTGATGTATAATGTGATCTTTGTTTTGAGGAATGATGTGATCTTTGTTTTGACAAATGATGTGATCTTTAATTGATATATGATGTGATCTTTGTTTTGATGTATGATGATGCATCATGTAATTTCTAATGATTTTACTTGTAATAGTACTGATAGTAAGACTTACCTGATTGAGGATTAATTTTGAAGAAACTTTGTGGATTTCCACCAGTAATCTTAAAATGGAGTTGTTGGTTGGGGTTCTGATCATCATCCATGGCTTGTATTGTGACAATATCTTGATTAGATTCTCGTTCTGATACAGATGTATAATATCCAGGTTGTAGACTGTGTGGTACATTATCATTAACATCCAGTACCGTAATTAATACTTCTAGTCTGGATGATCTGGGCACCAAACTACGATCTTGAGCATACACTGCCAACCAGTAATGTGAAGCAGTTTCTCGATCTAATACTTGAGTTGTTCTTATAGTTCCTGAAAATATCAACAGAAATTTCATAAATATAAAATATATATAAAAACATGGACAAATTCCAGTTAAAAGAAGGACGATTTACTCAAAGATTGTCACCTAGAAATGTGGTTTGGCAAAAGATTTCATTCATTGGCCCAGAGAAGGCATGTTGATGAAGGCAAAAGTTAAATCATCATTATATAAGTAAAAAATAAACACAAAACAAATATATACTTATATGTACTTAGAATTTGACTGTATTTAAATAAGTTTATTTCATTGTCGAGGCAGTTTATTTAAAACTGTTATTTTGGGAGTATTTCCCAGGAAATTGAGCTACTTAGAATGTTGTTTCATGGTGCAAACCCAGCTGCATCCTTATTGTCATAGTGGTCTTTTTACACACAGAATTTAATAAATTTCAACATTGTGAAGAAAACCTCACATTTAAAGAATTGTCTCATCAATATGTTTATAGTAAAAGTCTGAAACAGACACTTATTTAAATGTGTTACCATAAAATTAGTATAAAACCTAAAATAGTATCACAGACTATAGTATTATAGTAGAAATAGTGAAAGTGAAGTACTATTGACTGATTACTATTGATTTTGTCGTCTGTCTGGGTCGACTATGGTATAACAATTGGTAGTTAAATAAAATTAGTGATTATCAGGCAAAATGTGGCGGATATAGAACTAGTATTACATTTCTAACAACGTTAATAGCACATTTAATTGAGTCGTGCAATCTATGTGATAAATCTTCTATTAACAACCGTTACCGAGGCACAATGGTAGGCTTATCTGCCTTTTACTTCCTTTTAATTCCTCGAGTGCCATTTTTCATGTAATCCTTTATCAATAGCTTTTAAGTTAATCAGATTGTTCAGATAAATGGTGTCTGCTTCTGCAACAATATCTTATTGGAATTTCCAGATATTGTCATTATATCTATTCATCAGTTTGAATAGTTATCACATACCATTGTTACCTATTCAATCTATTCATGTGTTTGAATAGATATTATCACATACCATGGTTACATATTACATTCCTAATCTTAATCAATTGAGTGTGTACAATGCCATATTTTTGGAACCGAAGTAGAGAGATTGACAATGGACCGAAATTTTTCACAGAAATATTTTAAAAATGAGGTGCCTGTGGAAGCATTAGTATACTCGCAGGATTCCAAGACAAAATACAATCTTTCTCCTAATAAATGTTCTTTGTATTCATTATAAACTCTAATAGAAGTCTTGGAATAAGAAATTAAAACATTTCCCTCAGGTCATTTTATGGCAACTTAGTTGATAATGATCTCCTTACAATAAATATGGCCTTCACAACTAAACCTCAACTAATAGCAAAATTTGGTTTCTTCCAATATTGTATCACTTACAAATTGTCTGGAAATCGTTTTATGTAAATGTACAATTCTTTCACAGAAAGTAGGTGAAATATTCCATGGTCTCATGACACTTGCATTAAGTCTAGAATATTGTTAACATTTACAGCAATGCAGTTGAAAGTAAAATTGAAAATTTGATTTCCCATAGACAATCTATTTGAGATTTGGCTAAAAGAACATTAGATGGAATTTTTGAAATTCAAAATGACTATACATCCATTATAACAAAATAAAGTTTACAATTATGTAGCAGAAATGCATGCACAGCAAGATGGTTAGTACAAAATATGATGAAAAATAGTTGTCTCAATGTTCAATTGGTTATAATTTTGCAATTTGGCAATTATTTGCACCTGTATATTGTTATTTCTTTACACGAAAACATGTTGATGATCAAAAAAAAAGGCAACTTTTTTCTAACCAATTTTAATGCTTCAGAGAGGGACCACTAAATGTCAGCTCTGAACTTTGTCCACCTAATAATTAGTATTTTGTTAATGAAATATAAAGCCCTACTATATATATATTTTAAAACCAAGATTAAACTATCAATTGTAAGCTGTCATGGACATACCTGTAGTGACAAGGAAAGCTAGCATAAAGTATGAGATTTTTATTGTAGATAATAATGACAAATGTGCAGAAATATGACAGCAGAAGATAATGGGGAAGAAATATTAAAATGAAATTTAATTCACATTTATCATTTTCAGACCAGAGATTATTTTGATTATGTACACCAAGTATACATCAGAATAGCCTTGAAATACCAAAATATAATTTAAACACTTAGTATAAGGAATTCTAGATGCTGCACTAGTACAAAATCAGGAATAATTCAGCAAAAGCAGCAAGGACTAGCAAATGAAATTTAATTAACATTTATCATTTTAAATATAGAGATAATGTTGCTTTTTACAGTGAGCATGCATTAGAAATGGTCTAAAATAATGATGGTCACATAATATATAACAGGTTCAGTTGCTAAAGAGGTCAAAGTCAGGATGTGAATGAAGTATCAATTCAATAAGTTATCCTATTCATCTGCCAATGTCAACTAGGAAGACAATGGAACCTGCAAACTTTTGTTACTTTGAAGACCAAAGTGAGCTATTCATATGTTGTTTGCTGTCGCTGTATAACATCCACAAGTTACAGAATGACTATTCCAGAAAAAGAAACCATTATTTCTGATATCTTTGATATCTATTTCTCAATGCATATTGGCACACACCACACATGCAAATGCTAAACAGACTCTTTCGAGTATCTGCCCATAACCATAGTAATAGAAAAATGGATAATATGCAAGATAAAGCCAATCAGAAGAATATGTTACATGCTTTTAGCTATTCTATACTTCCTACAGGTTTATATTATCAATCAAATACCCCATTCTTTAATGTCATGTAATTCTTTTTATATCAATAGAAGAATCAGAGTATTATATTACATTAGTTCAGTAGTTCTAATCTACTATACTGTGTCAGAAACTATTACAATCTTAAGATAGGAAGCATATTCTATAGGATTATTACATCAAATGCTTTTAAGGGTTTATCAAGCATATTTCCAGGAGATTAATGAGCCTATTCTTTAGATTATCGAACATATTGTCAAGACACATGTCAAGAATCAAGGATTATCAAACATATTGTCAAGACACATGTCAAGAATCAAGGATTATCAAGCATATTTTCAAGACACATGTCAAGGAAAACGTATTATCAAACATATTTTCATTAAGGATTATAAAGCATATTTTGAAGGTTATTAAGCATATTTTGAAGGTTATAAAGCATATATTCATGGTTATCAATCATATTTTCGAAAATATTAATGAGCTTATTTTTAAAGATAAAAGAGTATATTTTTAAAAGAATTTTCAAGAATCAAAGATTATCAAGCCTATTTTGAAGTCACATTTTAAGGATCAAGTATTACTAAGCACATTTTCAAGGATTATCAAACATATTTTAAGGATTTTCAAGAATGGTAGATCTGTAACAATGGCACATTTAGGAATGCTATGGAATTCACAGTAGTCCAATTTCATAAAGGAGTCATGCAAGAAGTTGTAAATCTAACCAAAATTAAACAAGTCTTCAATTTCAGTTTTGAATTCAAGTCTTACAAGTATAGTATGAATATGGGAACTTAGAATGAGTTTAAAAACCAGGGTTCTTAATTCTCTGTGTTTCAACTTGAAACAAAAGTAACCTCCTAAGGTTTGACATTGGACTATTCACATATGAATTATAAAGTTCATTTATAAAACAGTTCTTGATACAATATATGTTAAATTCTATTTTTTTTCAAATTATCAAAAGTTTCAATCATTCTGGAAGAATCTTGTACAACTCATTAAATATAGAAGCCTGAATACTGTCTGACGTGTACCTTGATCATTTCTTTGATTTATGATGTCTAGCTGGTAAAATTCATTAAGGTTTCATGGCTTTGTTAAATCACAAGAGACCTGAATTCAGAAACTAGGTACTCTCAAGACACATGTCCTATGTAACTTGGAACATCTTTCATATATTTAAAAATATGTAATGCATGATGTTTCACTTAATCATAAAAATTTACAACCAGGTATATCTAAGTTTTCTAAAATTAATTTGATCCGGGTTGTGATATTTTACAGAATAAATTTTCACAGTTGTGGCTGCAGAACTTTGCATTGGGAGGGGCCACCACAAATTTTTTTTAACTTCATTCTAAAGGGGGAGGGGGGGGGGGAGTTGAAATGGCCCCCTTGAAATATTTTTGAAAATAAAGGGTATTAAAGAGAGAGTTGTGCCATTTTTGGGGGTTGATTTTAGTCTTGAATATATGTAAATAAGTCTTCATAAGTACTAAAAATGTATGAAAATCACATAATTCCTTTAAAAATACTTCAAACTAAGAATTTTACTAACTTTTCCTATATATGTCTTTTCTATATATCATAGAGTATCTTAAATTGAAGAGTCGTCATTTTAAAATTCAAACGCAGATAATTCTGGACACACATGGATTTGAAGGCTCAAAATTAGACAGTGAGCTGTAAACAATAATACTGCTGGGCACAGCTACAAAATTCCAGTTTCTGAGACTAAGGTATGATTGGTCAAAAAAACCTACCTGTTCCTTTAATCCTGCATGATATGCCATTTGAAAGTCAACGTTTCCATATATATTGCATATTTCCACAAGAAAAGTTATATTCTTTGGTCTTTGGGAAGGAACATGGGAGCATGGTCAAGATATATTACAGAAAAATATTTCAAATATCATAATAGCATAAAGGCAAGTCAATTTGTTTCAGTTTTGAGAAAAACTTATTCAAGTCAAATTTATTTTCAATAGAAACTAATCCATTAGTAGAAAATGATTTTCTTTCAGATAACCAGTCTGTGTTTTGAATACTGTCCATTTCACAAATGAAGAAATCAGTAGGGGGGGCTTCAACCTGATCAATTATTTTTCAATTCACAGGTTTCCATCAAAAAAACACAGCAAATTTGGCCATTTGTATTTATAATAGGGCCATAAAGGAAGTGCTGGCTCAGCCATCAAGTCATTAACTAAAATAAACAAAATAGATAAACATAAAGAGTATATACTCATGTGGTTGGCTTCACATCAAAGATTTAGAACGAGAGTTAAGGATGTACTCGAACATTCATTTTTACCTAACTTATCAGGTTTTTAAATAATATTCACATACAAGGAATGGGACATCACATACAAGGGAAGGGATGGGACTTAACATACAAGGGGATGGGACTTAAAATACACGGGAAGGGATGGGACTTCACATACAAGGAAAGGGGTGGGACTGCACATACAAGGGAAGGGATGGGACTTCACATACAAGGGATCTTCAAAGAACGGGAATCAACTTACTTATACATTTATATCATATTTTGTATTGTATGCAGAAAGTATAGAGCTACCCAGAGTTAATATAAATGCAGATCACAAGCCTAAGTATTTGTGATGAAATCATGAGTTTATATTCTAAAAAATAAAATATCACCCTTTCATCTGAAATGCAACAAAAATAGTAATATTTGTCAAAGGTTCTGACTTTGGATTTCTGGTTTCATTTAGCGGTAAGAATCATAAGCACTTGGTTTATTTATTGGAAGGCATATCATACTTATTCTCCTGAAACACCTAATTCAAAGAATGTTCATAGATTTATGAAAAAACTGCTCAAGACATGCGGAGCAATTCACACAAAATTACAGCTATTTAATATTCCTAGATTTATACTTTTAATATCTGCAGCAAACTGCTCTTCAATATCTTCTTCCTGGGATTGGATAAGAATTTGCAGAAGAAATCAATTAAGAAATAGTGAGATGAAATGATTTCAACAGAGTGTTATCATGATAACAACAACTGCGTGATGTATCATTAAAACTTTGCATGTGTAGTGAAGCATGTGCATACAATCCCAGTGGCACATCCATTAATTGAATTGTGGTTTCATCATGTGGTTTGATAATTTTATTCTATTAGATTTCCAGATATTCTACCATGTTCATTCTAATAAAACTACTAACATGCTAGAATAGTTAATGAAGTTTCAGAAAGCTGTTTTTACTGTGTTGAATAGTCAAGAGTTTAATACCATAGAATATTCACATGGTGGACTTCTTGCTCCTGTTCATTAAGCGAGCTTTCTTTGCTAACAAGCCCAATGTCTATATTTGGAAATTAACCTTTAATTTTCAAACTTGTTGCCTGATGAGGAATGTTTATCAGAAACCTGTGTCAACACTATGAGTTGAACTACATAGTAGGAACTACATATAGAATACATTTATGAGCTCATATCAGAAATAACTTTCTGAATGTGCTTTATATAAACCAAAAATATATCAACATCAATTTATAAGTTTATTTGCTCAATATTTTCCAATTTTGTGTAATTTTGAAAAATAAAACAAAGGACAAATACAAAATCAAAATAAAGAGCAATTAAGATGATTTTACATTCAATCTTTCTAAAACTGTAAATTGCATTCCTTAAACAAAAGTATTAAAAATGAAATTTATGTGAATTTAACCACCTGTGGCACAGAAGTAGATAATTTTCAAATGTTTAACCCCAGATGATTTGGTATAAAATCCTATTCATAAATTTGAATTGCTCGTGAATGCACCTAGAAATATTCATATATGACTGATTCAGAATAGATAAGGTATTCTATGTTGGTTATGGGGATTTGATTTTGTTTAAAAGTTCAGGGTTTTTACTAAGATTTGTCCCCTATAATTAACATAGTTTAACTTCTTGAGATAAATATTTGAGATAAAAGAAGAATGCAAAAGTTTATCCAAACTTTGAAGATCTGTGAGTGCTTCATATTTGGGATGATGTTTTTTGACTAGTAACGTTTTGAAAACTGGCAGTCTTGAATGTAAAAATACGTTGACAATAAGAATTTGAATATTGTTCTTTAACCATGTGTTATTGATGCTTGAAATAAATTACTCATGATTATGAGACTTATTTTAACCACATGAGCATTAACATAAAAGGAATTCTAAAATTCCACAATAACAAATAGTTGAATTCTATTATCAAACCTTACGCAACACATTGTTTTATCTCTGTACAAATTTAGTCTTATTTTAAACATAAGGTTATGTTAACATTTGTTTTAAATCAAAATCAGTTGAAATTTATTAAAATAACTTAAGATGAGGTCAGTTTTAAAATTTGAAAAATGTGTCTGTTATACAGAGTAAGGAAAATGGGCTCAATAAAGACTTGTGGTGAAAATGTGTGACTGTTGACAATGGTCTCATCTGGCAAATATTATTAATGCTGATTGAAAGAGAAGAGGATAGTATGGTCTCAACTATTCATTATTAATCCTGTGAAAAATGGGTGTTTAACAGGTTATGACTCCAGTGACTTGTCTTTTTGTGTGCATTCAAATGCAATCATTTGTATAATTATATTGAGTTAGAAATAATGACAATGTGGAGCCCGAGCTCATGAATATTTAACTTCATTTCAAATTAGGTGTTAAGATCTCAAACAAATTTACTTAAAAAACATGGGAAAAGTTCTTAATTAACAAAGACATATGGCGCTTGTACTTTTAAAGTTTCATATATAACGCTTTTTAATGATGTTATTATACAAAAATACATGTATATAGACAATTATCCAAATTCAACCAATAAATGCAAAACTTGCATAAAATAAACTATACTATATATAATTAATTCTCTATACAGACATAAGCCAAGGCACTAACTAAGAACATTTATTTTTTAAATATTTTTTACTAACCACCTGCTAAAAATGTGATTGTATTAAAGAGACAAGTTCACCATCTCAGAAAAGGTAATTTTAAGCTAAGCTCATCAGTAATAGTGTTTATAGCTGATTGTAAAATCCATGTATGTCCAGAATTATTTGAAAGGTAAAATGGCTTTTCTTAAGATTGCCATATAGAGAAAATACATGACATTTGACAATGATCTTTAAACTTCGCCAGGTTCAAGGGTTCCAGACAAAAAAAAATTGCAAAATTCTAAGTATACCAATATACATGCTTACTATTCCATATTTGTACATGAATTTTCAAGACACACAATATTTGAGTGATTTGTGAAATGTAAGAAGGTGGCTACCTTAACCTCCAATCAATTAAAACCTCATTACTTATCATTATAACATGTCTGTCAAATTTACACAAATATTTTGAAAAATGTGTCTGCTTATAATTAGCATGTATAGCTGCAGGCCTGTTTCATAACTTATCTCAGATATAGAAAAGACATTGAAACATATGTCTACCTTGCAGTCTACCAATTATATATTCATAAATGTTATAATGCAACTTGCAAATTTCAATTTTTGTTATAAACATTAGTTAGTGTCTCCTACAGAACATTACATTCTTTAAGTTTGTTAACTTAAATCAATATGATCATAAGACAATTAGCATATCAATGCTATTGTGTTTTAGAATTATTCATTTCAGTGTTCTTAATATTACCCACAGAACACCAATTATACAATACTTTATACATGATTTGGTATAAAATACTGGTACGCAATTAAACACTTTTCTTGTGATCACGCAGCAAATACAATTCGAGGGACATAATAGTTATATTTATCACAATGGTGTATAGCTTTTAATACATATGTGAGCTTTTCAATATTTCCATGTTCATATATTAACTGCTGTACTTTTCAATATGGTATTATTATTTTCAGTGTTAAAACACTATTATCAACTCTAGGTTTTTCTGCTGCATTACACACTTGCATTCAAAATCAAAAGCTTGGTCAATATATAAGATAATATAAATATGGAGTTATTTCATCTGATAAGTTCAGTCCAGGTTAATGATAGATAGAATAAATCCACTTAACCAGGTCAACTGATTTCAATATGATTATTGAAGTAGGTCTAATCCTCTCTGGATTACTAGTTTTTTCCCACCACAAGCTAGCAGCTAGATATTGATATCATAATGATATATTAACTCGGCTGCAGTATTAAAGGTCACAAAGATTGTATCACCAGACATTTTAATACTTGATACAGTCAAAAAGACAAGTTAGCTGACATTATTGACACGAAAATGTATGTGTTTAGAAATGTAAGGTGCAGTTATCACCTACTTTTTACACCTTGCTATCTCATATTACAAATAAAATCAACTTGTGACACATCGATCAATCTTGTAAGTGCAAAAACTATCAAAATTTGTTTTTTAATAAATCTCAATAAAAACACCATAAGCTTCTGCATTTGTCACAGAAAACAATGGAGACCAATCCAATCATATGACCTATGCATTATACACTGAGCAGACTATTATTTTTTAGGGTTAGGAATCAAGACCTATATCCCGTGGTGTACTATATAAAATAAAGTGAATGTTTAATGTTTTTTTTTTAATCAGCCAGGATATGTACAAATATAATCTATTCATACTAATTGTTTCTTCGACAATTTCGTCAGGAGATGTTTTCAATTTAAGGAAGAATTAAACCGTTTAGAATGAAAATAAAATTCAGATTCCTTAACTATTCTTTCACTAGTAGAATTAACTGGTGTCATAACTGTACAAAAAAACTCTCTTTAATCAGATAAATCCATAACTAAGTAATTATAAAAAATCGTTCAAATATTTTTTCAGTAATTACTTAGTATGGATTTATTATTTGAAAATTGAAATTTTATGTTCATCCAAAAGGCGTATCATTCCTTAAACATCAAAAGTACCGTATCAAGATTCGAAAAAGGAGAGATTGGTCGGGGGTGAATTAAGAAACTAGGAGAACTTACCATTATTATCAATTGTAAATCTTCCCAGACCAGATCCATCTCTGATAGAATAGATGATAGCATTATCTTCATTAGGTAAACTGTCAGGATCTTTAGCTAGCACATTCATAACAAATGTACCCACTTTCCCATTCTCATCCACATAACCTTTAGCAATAAAACTATCAAATAATGGTGGAGAGAAATTTTCATTTACATCCACAATCTCAATATTCACTAAACAAGCAGACGCTAAAGGAGGGATGCCTCCATCTTCTGCTAAGGCACTGATATTATACAATTGTTTTTCTTCATAATCCAATCTTCCAGCAATTCGAATGACACCTGTGTTTGCATCAATTTCAAATTTGTCGTCTGCACCAAGAGTTAGAGAGTATGTTAGTTCTCCATTTTTGCCACTATCTAAATCTTCAGCAGTTAAAATAGTCACTAAAGCACCGACAGGTAAGTCTTCCCTGACTTTGACAAAATAAGTAGGTGGGATAAATTTGGGTCTGTTGTCATTGACATCTACTAAATTGATGGTCACTATTGTTTGGGAAGCAAGTTGGACCTCACGGCCTGAATCCTTAGCTTGAACAATGAGTTTATAGGAGTTTTGAGTCTCTCTATCTAAAGGACGATTGACACGAATTATCCCCCCTGATGTATCGATGTTAAAATCATCTGTGTCTGTTAAAATGGAATAGTGTATTTTGGCATTGTGACCCTGGTCCATGTCCCTTGCCATTATAGAGATAACAGTGGTGTTGACATGTTGATCTTCCGAAATATTTACTTCATATGTATCCTTTTCAAATGTTGGCCTGTTATCATTGACATCTGTGACAACAATTCGCAGATTGGTGGAGGAATTTTTATGGGGTGAGCCTAAATCAGAAACAGATATCACTAGTGTATAAGTAGCAGTTGTCTCTCGATCAAGGGAAGACATCAATTTCAAAGCTCCAGTAAAAGTATCAATGTCAAAAGCCCCTTTTTTATTTCCATTGGCTATGCCATACACTAAACGACCATTATAACCAATGTCTTGGTCATCTGCTTGGAATAATTTTATTTGTGACCCAATTGTCTGGTCTTCAGGCACTTCAATATAATCAGGAGTATTTGGTTTAAACACTGGTGCATGGTTATTAGCAGCTGGTGTACCGGAAGTCGTTGAAACTTCATTCAGTTTATTATTTGTGAAAGCAGTTTGTAATTTATAATTTTCAGCCAGCCGCATTCGTACATCTGTTTCTGAACATGTTATTCTAATGTCTTGTGAAGTTCCAGGCAAGGGTTTGTTATGAATAAGAGTCATATTGATAGTTGTGGGTTTTGATATATGTTTGTCATCTGTAGCTGCAACCATTAAACTTAGACTGTCATTTGGATAACTAAGAAGATCACATCTAAGAGTTATTGCCCCTGAAGAAGGCTCAATTCTGAAACAATTGTGTTCATTACCACCAATAATACGATAGCTTACGACATCACCAATATCCATATCGATCGCCGTGACGACAGTTATCAAAGTTCCTTCCTTAGCTTCACGTGAAATGGTTCCACTACAATCAACAACTTCAAATTCAGGATGATTATCATTGACATTCTTTAGTTTGATGGTAACTGTAGTCTCTACTTCTCTACGATAAGGTAATCCCATATCTGATGCTCTCACACGAATATTGTATTCAGACTGCATCTGTTCAAAGTCCAATCTCGTATTTGTAGTAATCACACCAGAAAATTGATCAATATCAAAAGGCACTGATTGAGCGTCAGGAATAGAATAAATGATGGTGCCATTGTCACCAGCATCAATATCACGAGCTACAACTCTCAAGACAGAAATTCCTTCTGGTTCATTCTCATCAATTTCTCCTGTAAATGTCTTCTGGTCGAAAGTTGGAGAGTTGTCATTGTAATCCAAGATCACGATTTTCACTTTTGTTTCACTAAATTTACGTGTGCCACTATTAGCCTGATCCTCTGCATGAACGGTGAGAACAATTGTAGTATTTGAGCGGTTCACGCCTGCGATAAAATCAGCATCCAATGGAGCATTTGTCGTTATCAATCCTGAATACTCATCAATTTTAAACAGACCATCAGTATTCCCTGCCACGATAGAGTAAATAATTTCTGAATTCTTACCCCAATCGTTGTCTAAGGCATTTATAATAATTACTGGGGTATTAACAGGAACTACTTCCGAAATAGATGTTTGATAAGAGTTCTGTTTGAATTTTGGCTCATTGTCATTGGTGTCTTGGATTTGCACATGAACATTTGTTGTTGAGGTTTTTGGTGGGTTACCCTTATCTGTAGCTTGTATTGTTAAATTGTATCCATAAGGTGAGGTCTCTCTATCTAAACTACTGAGGATTTCAATATTATATAAATTAATTTCTTTACCCTGGACTATGCGGAACCGGTTCTCAGGATCACCATCTACAATATCAACAGAATTGATGTGTCCATTTTTACCATCATCAGAGTCTGATACCATAAGAATGGCATAAATGCTGCCATAATGACCATGTTCTACTATGGATGGATGATGATGAACTTTGACCGTAGGTGATTGATAATTTACTGCAGTTACAGTTATTTTAAGTAGAGTTTTTACGGTGGGTTTAGGCCCATTTGGAAATTTTGGTCCTCGGTCACTGGCTAAAACATTGACCTCATAAATAGTTTGATAGCTATATTTCAATTTATGGGTTAATGTTACGACACCACTAGTTGGGTGAATAGCAAACTTGTTTGTCCGTTTGGCTAAACGAAAATACACCTCTCCATTAATACCTATGTCTGCATCTGATGCAGAGACTTGAGCTATGCTGCTATGTAAAGGTGTATCTTCTGGAACTTGTACACTATAAAAGTTTTTATCAAATAATGGACTCAAGTCGTTTTCATCTAACACATTAACTATGAGATCGGCAGAAGTGTGCAACTGATTCCCAAAAGAATAGCTAGCAGTGGCCACAACACGTAGAGAATAAGATGATCTAGCCTCACGATTGATCACACTACGAAAACTCACTGTCGAAGTACGAATTCGCAAGAAGCAAAAATCTCCCTCGAAATGTTCCTCTGCTTTAAATATGTTATTTCCATCCCCTTCAATTCTGTATTCAATTTGTAAATATTCAGGGTTGGCTGTTAAAATTGGAATGCCCATCTTTTCAAATGAGGTAACGTAGGTATTAGCTATAGAGTTTTCTGCTATAGACACATTATAGAGGCTTTTGGTGAAATTAAAATTATCCTTGTTTAATGGTGAATATTGAGCTGAACAGGTAAATGGCAGACATAGCCACCAGAGCCACAGACACAGGCTGGCAATTTCCATGCTTGCCGCCTTCGGAAGTCTCCTCATCTCCTTACATCAATCTGAAATTATACAAAAATCTTTTTAATACAAATTCAATAATCTTATTAAGCTTAGTTGTTAAAAATATCACAATATAGCCATTAGTTACACTAGTTTTTTTTTCAACAAATTCAATTGTTTTTAAGATAATTTAGGACATCTCACTAGCTACCTTAAAGAAATGAACAAACTTATATCACTACAATACAACTTCCTTCATTTTTACAGGTTTAAAAGTATTAACAAAATTATTTCCTTCTTTTTCAACATAAATACGTCTAAATCAATTTCTCTCCAATACTATCTGGAATATGAATGTCCACTACTTAAATGTTCTCTATGAATACAGAATACAACAAAAACAATCCAACTCGTAACCTATCCCCAATCTCATGAGAAAAATGCAACATACCAAGTAAAATATTTGCATAAGTAAATTCATAAAATATTGGTGAAACACTGAATATCATGTGTCAAAGAGAAAATTCATTAATCATGGTCACAAGTGTCCACTGTTTGGTCAGTCGGTAGTTTTAATATGCTAATATTTGACCAGGTTAAAGGCAATTGTCAACTGTAATATATTTCTGGCTCTCTATGTGCATTATTAATATTGCACTTGTCTCCATTGACAATGTATATATTTTAATAAGCCAGACAGACTCGGTAAAAACACACCTGTCACGTTTACTTTTCTATTTACCAAAATAAAGCTTATAACCATTTTTAATTTCTTCTTATTCAAATCACCCTCTTATGCAATTAGACAATTTTTAAGTTGCAATAAATTTGCATAACGTATTTGCATAACGACATCATCTGTGTTAGTTTGTTTGCTCAAAATATGAGATGATTATTGTTAAGATTTATCTTAAAATAACTCAGTACACAGTTGAAGATATTCCAAAGTGATATTCAACAACAAGAGATAAAAAACATATGCATATATACATTTCTAATCTATAATATCTACTAAAACTTAAAGAAACTCTTTTCAATTTAGAAATTCAAAATTGTGGAGGAGTAGACTGACTCACAGACATTATTTTATTTACAAGTGTATGTGTTTACCATTTACTTGATGAGTGTTCATCCCCTTTTTTAAAGGAATATTACCTTTTTGAACATAAAATCTAAATTCTCAAACTTGGTCAATAAGAGCATTATATTCATCAGTGGGCTTTACTGGTCTCATAACATAGCTAAAACAACAAAATCCCTGTATTATCAGATAAATCCATAAAGTACTATTTGAAAAATGTTAAAAAAGCTTTAACTGGCAGTTTTGGGAATGATTACTAAGTTTTAAAGATATAAATTATATACATGAATTCTGTTAGAAAATAGCTTAAATGACACTAGGTAAGACTACTGATGAATATCATTGGCCAAGTTTGGGAATTTAAATTCCATCTTCAATCTAAGTAGCATTCCTTTAAAGTGGCAGTGTTTTTCAATAAAACAATTATTGATTTCCTACTTAATTATGTAAAATGTGTCCTCCATTTTAATTTCAATATAATCAAATGTGTTGTGTATGATTTGATCCAAAAAAAAAAATCCCAAAAATCGAATTACATAGTTAACTTTTTAATAAAAAATTCATTAAATGAAGACTACAATACCAGTATGAAATTTTACATACAATTTTTTTCTTCTAAATAGAATTCTTTAAAAATTAATAAAAAAAACCCTTCATTTTTTTTCATTTCATAAAGTATTACCATTTCAAAGTGATAGTTTAAATTCTATCACATAATAATGACAAGTTTTTATCTGCTAGATAGTGTACCATTGATAGGTTTAATCCAGCTGATTAGGTTTTATATAACCTTTTTACACAACACCCAAATACCTATAATCACACTGTACTTCATTGAACCTCTCTTATATATTAAATTAATTTAAAGAGTTGAAATTAGTAGTGGAGCAGGTCCAGGTAACAAAAGTTTCAAACACAATAGCTTGTGAGACAGGTGCGACTTTTAGTATTGTTAACAGTTTCAAACTTTTATGTCTACATCAAATCAACATACTGTATCCTAAATTAGCACACCTTCTCTTCGTGTCCTGTTTTATAAAAAACTAAAACTCATAAACTAGAGCGTAGAAACACACAGTATATAATTATAAATGTCAACAAAGTTTGAATTGCAATTTAAAACATAGCCTCTCATGACCTTACCTCTAAAACGGATAATTTGTTCTAGATTTACACTCTATCCACCTTTCATATAGCTCACTTTAAAAGTCACCCATGATAGAACTTCAATAGCCTTATATATTATCTTTCAAACAAACTTCGGTAGAATAACAAAACTTTATTAAGATTATCAGAGTCATATCGGTCATTTCCTTTTCAATGTAACAAGTTGACCAGGTAAATAAAATTGTCTCAAATCACCAAATCTGTAAATTCAACAACTCAAGCTGTGTCATATGTTGACTGTTGTTTGACCCTCTACCATTGACCCATTGACAATCCTACCACAAAACTATTGTTTATTTTCTAAGGTAAATGTCTTATATCAAACAGTCAATTTGCAACTTTGTTATAAAAAGTATCACTTATTTCATATCCAAATAATATTACATCTGCATTGCAAAAGTTTCAATGCAAAAAACGGCAAACATTATTTCCAACTGTGAATTCGAACATGGTCAAAACAACGAAAAGGACATAACCACAGGGCTCAATAATAACACACACGACTCAACGACTGTCCACTTGACTGATTTTCCCAGCCAGTCGTCTCAACTTTTTATGAATGAACTAGCGACAGAGGTGCACAATATTATTTACAAAACAAACGCAATGTCTTACATTTTTAACTTGATTCGCTGATATGATTATTAAAAACTAAACCACTCACCATTCATGGAGATTTAAAATACACGCTTTATAGGTTTAATTCAAATATTGTTATCCAAAGCGCTCAAACGTCTCGCACACAGTGGCCATCTTTCACTTCAGTAATAGAGTGACACCTGACGGCAGATTTAATGATGGCTATAAGACTACAGACCACAATGAGATTTTTACATCTTTTAATTCGCTTAATATAACTTTGCATTGTTATTCCAAGGATTATTTAATTCAAATGCAAAACAATTTGACAGGAAGCAAACAGAGTTTAAGATTTCAATTTATATGCTACTACCTGTGTACACTGATCTTGTATTGCAGCCTACTTGCATGTTTCTACCTTGCATAGTCTGCCTTCTCGGGCATAATGTAGTGTCCAGACATGCGATTTTCTATTTTTTTCTGTAATAGATACAGGACACCTTAAACTATCCTTTGAATTAACAAATACACCTATGGCAGCAAAATTTGCAAAGGTATAGCCATTATAATCTTGGGAAGGTCTAAACTTGGACGTGCAGTCAATTTTCACAGGTTGGATAAAGACCTTAATATTAACAGGTTAACATTCCAATAACATCAGAGATGTAAAGGTGCCAGTTGGACTGAATATGGACAACCGTTCGAAGTTGTTTTCTTCCTTAACTGCCTGCTACAGCACTATTATTTTCAGACTTTTCATCAAACCAAGTCAAAGCAATTTTCCTCCTGAAAATAAGGGTAAAACTTCAAAGTCGATTTTCTAGAAAGTTTGATAAAATCCCGAATTTATATTTTGGACTGTAATAGACGTAGGATATGTTAAACTACCGTTTGCAACAAGAACTATACCTCTCGGGTCAGAATTAACCGAGATACAGACATTTTAGTATAAGGGTGGGATCGGCAAGCTACATATGCAGTCTAATTGCACTGGTTGGGTTGAAGACCAAAACTTTAACAGACTGCCATCTGAAGTTGCTATGTTTCGAATTTCAAGTTTCTTCTGTGTAAACTCTGCCTGTAACAGCACTTTTAGTTTCAGACTTTTCTCCAAACCATATTATAAGCCATTTCCTCTTGAAAACAAGAGTCAAACTCAGAGGTCGAATTTCTCGAAAGCTTGAAAATATTCCGAATTTCTATTTTCGACTGAAATAGGCGCAGGACATGATAAACTTTCATTTGCAACAAAAATTATATTCGTAGAGATCAAAATTGGCTGAGTTATAGCTATTGATAGGGTAGGTGGTCGATCAATTTACAGCCTATACGGTTCTATACAGTCTAGTTGCACTAGTTGAGGTGAAGACCAAAACTTTGACAGACTGCCGTTCGAAAACTATCAGAGATGTAAAGTTGAAATTTGCACTGTAGGTACATTACCATCTGAAGTTGTCCTCTTTCAAATTTCAAGTTCTTACCTTGCAACCTCCCTAACCAAAATATAAGCAATTTTGAAAATAATGGAGAAATTAAAAGTCGATTTTCTTATAAAAAAAATTCCAAATTTCTGTTTTCGACGCAGGGCAAACTTTCATTTGCAACCGCCGCGGTTGTGATTCAAGATTCGGCAATCTTTCAGAGGAAGTGCAAGGGTGTAAGGAGCCTCTTAGAGGGTTCTCCCAAGGGAAATTTAAAAAAAAATTGATTTGGTGCATTCTGACATATATTTGGGGCTAAAAGGTATCAAAATCATATTTTTGATTTTTGATTTAGCTACTACATTTAATACGTTTGAAAAAAAAAAAACTTATTTGGATATACAAGCAAATGTTACACCTGCATATAAATTTAATATAATAAATCAATTAAATCAATTTGTGATAAGTGTTTTCAATATAAAAGTATATTTTCCTCTTTTTTCTAACTATATATTATGAGGAATTTTAGGATATTCTTTGTTACAATTGATGTTGATGATGCTTTCATTTGTCGAATTTTTTTTTGCTCAAGTTCATGAAAACCTATTCCAAAACCCTTAAGTAGTTAATGTAGATACGTAGATGAAAATGGCACTTTATGAATATTTTGAGGTATATGAAAATTTTTGGTAATGAAAATTGTGCATACTGCCCCTCTAAATATCACATTAAAGTTTCAAACATTATTATTCGATGCCGATATTTTGTCCAAAATGTATTCTGTCTGTCATTCCAAGCGATTTAGGGTAAAATCTTTTTCAAATCCATATAGCAATTTGAACATTTCTTTTCCATATTTTTAGGACTCTTACGTATCATTACTGTTTTTCCATGTTCATCAACAATAACCTCCATTACTGCACAGAGTATATGGCCACATCCCCAACTTGAAGGAACTATATTGAGTTGACCATATATTACATGATTACACCGAACATTCTTTTTAAAATTAGATTCCAAATTTCCACTCTTGGTCGTCATATGAATAGCTCTCACCGTTTTGGTGATGTCTATCACAGTTACGTTCATCGCTCGAGCGTATGACACAAGCCACATACCTATCCCTATTCTTCCGACCACTGCATTAGGTACATACTCCCACGGAAACAATTTGTTGGTAAAGAAACCGTCCGAAGAACCATCCATTACAGCTTTTCCTTTGTTGTACATTTCAGTTATATTTGAATTTTCATCTAATTCTGGGCTATTGGAAAAGTCTACATTCGTTCGACGAACTAAAATCAAAACAGGTTTTTCTTGGACCACAGTGCTCTCTACTAAGTGATCTATAGCTTTTTGAATCCCGTTATCAAATGTGATATCACCATTGGCATATCCGTACAGAACACTTTTATAATTTGTTACAGCATCCAGGAACATATCTCGCATTATAGGCATATTACTGTCTCCACAACCGGTTTTGGGGACTGGGCGCACCAGCCAACCCTCCTTCTTCAAGCGGTTTCCTGTAGAAGCATTGATATAAAAGAACAATGGTTTAATTAAGGGTAGCCACTTCCTCCACGTGCGGAATACATTCCTGTGAACAATGTCCTTTTCTGCAACATCAATCCAAGTTGTAAACAAGATCATACCAGTTTTGTTTGATTTCCGCCATGGTTCTTCTTGAGTCTTCATTGGTTCCTTTGGTTTGGTATTTCTGTCTAAAACAAACTGAGATAATTTAGCACTGAAATCTTTAAATTGACCTGAAACTTGAAATCTCTGTTTCTTGATATAATTTTCCAAAGAATCCAGTTTTTGCAAAATACCTCTAATTTGTGTAAATTTAGGCAAATATTTTGCTATTTGAAATCTATTGTCTTTTGATAATATAAATCCACAGTAGAAAGAAAAGGCCACTACTGTCACAATAACAAGATAACATTTAAAAGTGATTTTGTAGCTAGTCATGGTGTGAAGACACTGTAGTATTCAGAATGAATATCTTACATGAACAGCATCATCCAAAATCTAACACCAATGTATATTATTGGCTTAAACGACGATGCATGAACAGCTGGTAGTACACTTTGCATAATGTCAATAATATATTCAAGGAAAATATGTTCATACTAGAGATCATTAGATTAGAATTTCATAAGTTTATCACAAAAGAAGGATGAAAATCTTAGTCACCGCTGTATAATATTCCGTTTGAGACCCTCCATCAACACCTTCCAATTTATCCTCATGTGATCCAGCCAATGCCATCATCATTCCGTGCATACTAATTAGTCTCAGACTTTTTTCCCCAAACCAAAATATAAGCGATTTTCCTCTTGAAATCGAGGGTGCAACTTTAAAGTCGATTTTCTCCAAAGTTTGAAAACATTTCTAATTTCTGTTTTCTACTGAAATAGACGGAGGAAATGATAAGCTTTCATTACAAACAAAAATTGTACCTCTCGGGTCAAAATTGGCTGAGTTATGGCCATTTTAGTTCAGGGGTGGGGTCGGCAGTCTGCCTAAGCGTCTTTCTGCACTGCATTTTCAATGGGGTGAAGACCAAAACTTTGACAAGCTCTCCTTTGAAGACTATCAGAGCTGGAAAGTTGAAATTTGCGCTGAAGGTACATAACTATCGGAAGTTATTATGTTTCAAATTTAAAGTCCCTACCGTGAAAACTCTGCCTGTTACAGAACTTTGAGTTTCAGATTTTTTCCCGAACCAAAATATAAGCAAATTTCCCTCTTGCAAATTCGTGTAGAACTTCAAAGTCGATTTTTCCGAAAGATTTTAAAAAATGCGAATTTCTGTTTTCGACTGAAATAGAAAGAAGACATGTTCAACTTTCGTTTGCAAGAAAAATTATACCTCTCGGATCAAAATTGGCCGGGTTATGACCAGTTTAGTGAGGGGGTTAGGGTCGGCAGTCCGCCTATAGAGTCTTGTTGCAATGGTTGGGGTGAGTACCAAAACTTTAACAGGCTGCCGTTCGAAAACTATCAGAGATGTAAAGTTGAAATTTACACAGAAGGTACACACCCATCTGAAGTTGTTTTGTTCCAAATTTCAGGTTCCTATTTAAAAAACTCTGCCAGTTACAGCACTTTTAATCTCAGACTTTTTTCCCCAAACCAAAATATAAGCGATTTTCCTCTTGAAATCGAGGGTGCAACTTTAAAGTCGAATTTCTCCAAAGTTTGAAAAAATTTCAAATTTCTGTTTTCTACAGAAATAGACGGAGGAAATGATAAGCTTTCATTACAAACAAAAATTGTACCTCTCGGGTCAAAATTGGCTGAGTTATGGCCATTTTAGTTCAGGGGTGGGGTCGGCAGTCTACCTAAGCGTCTTTCTGCACTGCATTTTCAATGGGGTGAAGACCAAAACTTTGACAAGCTCCTGTTTGAAGGCTATCAGAGCTGGAAAGTTGAAATATGCACTGAAGGTACACACCTATCGGAAGTTGTTATGTTTCAAATTTCAAGTCCCTACCGTGAAAACTCTGCCTGTTATAGCACTTTGAGTTTCAGATTTTTTCCCGAACCAAAATATAACCAAATTCGGGGAGAACTTCAAAGTCGATTTTTCCGAAAGATTTTAAAAAATGCGAATTTCTGTTTTCGACTGAAATAGATAGAAGATATGTTCAACTTTTGTTTGCAAGAAAAATTATACCTCTCGGGTCAAAATTGGCCGAGTTATGGCCAGTTTAGTGAGGGGGTTGGGGTCGGCAGTCCGCCTATAGAGTCTTGTTGCAATGGTTGGGGTGAGTACCAAAACTTTAACAGGCTGCCGTTCGAAAACTATCAGAGATGTAACGACAGTTAGTTAGGACATAACCCGTTCCACGTTGATCAACAACAAGTCAAGGTTAATAGTAAGACTTTATGTAGAAAACCATGACAAGACTTCAAGTTATTAACAGGACAGTAGTCGGAAGACAGAATGGCTAGGTTTACTTGCTTTGTGCTACATTGCACGTGACTTAAAGAAGGCGAATTTGATTAGTGAAATACATCTTATGGCGTGACTTTTTTTTTCTTTTTTTGGAAAAGAAATTGAAACTATGTAACCCTCTGTCTATCGACTCTATACTAATACACACAAAGATTAAACACATAAATGTACATAATAATCAATTCATAACAAAGTCATTAAATTTCTGTGGTAACCTCTTGACACGATTGGATCTTCTTGGTTCCTCTAAAGACATATTTTGTTCCGGTAAGGTAACGGCAAGTGGATCCACGATATCAGCTGGAGTCGACAGCACACTGGGTATATCTGGTGGTATAGGTGGACTGACACATTGGGATAAAGGTGGGGTGTCTAATTCGTCGTCAGACAAGTCATTGTCGGATTCGGACACAATCGAATCGTCGGGTTTATCACATGATCCAACTCTAAAACAATCAGACATCTTAACACGATAAGATGTTTTACGAAGCTGATTGCCTATGAATTTTCGCACATAACACCATTGTCCTTCCACACTTGTAACCAAATAACGATTTCTACCATTAGATTTATCACCATCCGAAATTAAATACACTAAATCACCAACACACACATCTATTTTTTGCAATACCTTAGAATAAGGTGCCTTTGATTTTTCACTAAATTGATGATTCTTTAAGCGCAAATTCGTCTTACTCTGGATAAGATCCAAATGATTTAAAGGAATCGGATGGGCCTGAAACTGATCACGTTGGGTCCACATTTTACGAGCAGACAATCCAGATGAGCGAATCCTATTGTTAAGGCTGGCAGTAGCTAGAGACAAAATTAGTGGCGTAATCCTTCCACACATAGGTTCCTGGCGAAGAATTTCGTTAATTAATTCCTGCACAGCCTTCTCTGCGACGGGGTTTTTGTTTTGGTTTTTAACGCGACCTACTTCAATAGAAACACGTTGTTGCCTTAGAAGCTGATCATTCACCAACGCTTTGAATCCAGGGGCAGGATCAGTTCTAACAACGGCATAGGGCCCATCTAAAGGCCTAAGCTCGATGCACATCCGCAGCAGTGCATCACGCAAAGTCTCGGCTTTCTCGTCGTCAATGAAGCAGCAGTATAGGCAGTCACACATTCTCTTAGCAAAAAGATAAACTGACCAGATCGTTTGATCACGTCACATGCATAGTTGATTCCAATAGCATCAGGAGGATCACTCGTTGATTGTTCCTTGACGCTTCGAGGAATCCTACTAAGTGAAGCACATTGATGACAGTTTTGAGTGACAGACGAAATGGCTTTGTCCATGTCAAGAGCAAAAAACTGGCAACTCATTACTTGTTTTAACTGATGCGAGGAAGGGTGATCAAGTTGTATGTGTAACTAAGTCACAAGTCCGTCCAATACAGTACGGGGAACAACAATACAATCTCTTCTACCCTGAAGTGGTGCTACGCGAAGTACAACTAAAAGTCCATCTTTAGCAATTGTGGTGACATTTAAATATCGTTTGACATCTCTAACGTTGGTTAATTTTTTTTGATGGTCTAGTGCCCTGTATGAGACGAGCATGCACACGACGGAGATCTCCACACTCCCCCTGAATATCAAGCCACAAAGAACGGTTACAGAAGGGAAGTTTACCCTGTCCTTTAAGAATGTCAGACACTGAAAGATGGCGAACAACCGAATCCTCCGTTAAATTTACAAATGAGCAAATTTGACAAGAAGGAGTAACACAGGGTAGAGCATTCCTGCTAGCAAAATCAGAAGGCACATTTGCGGAGCCAGCCAAATGCCGCACTGAAGCCTGGTAACGAATAATTATAGATAAAAACGTGGATAAGCGTGGACTTATGGAAAATTCGCCGCGACACAATTTTTCATACGCCTGAACGCAAGGTTTGCTATCAGTTAGAATACACGCCTGATGTTTTGATTGGATAATGAATGGGCTAAAGTGTTTAGTGGCTACGGCGATCGATATTGCCTCAATTTCACATGGGATCCATAGTTTAGCGCTAAAAAACCCGGCGACCCTTTGCTTTCCACTCCTTGTCACATAGAGGGTAGCGCCTATACCATAATCCTTAACAGCACCATCTGTTATGATCCACAAAACGTCATCCGGACGCGGTAGAACAATTGTTTTGCGGATTGAGCGCGTTCAAAAACCGACTTGAGGTGATCAGACCAAACAAGTTTTTCATTCGATTGTCTACCAGCGGACAGTTCATCAAGGGGTCCAATCAATTCAGCACACCCTGATATAACGCGGGCCAGGACCTTATAGGCACCGACAAAGGAGCGTATACCCCGTACGGTTTCGGGAAGAGAACATGTCGCAAGTGTCGATACTCTGTGAGTGCTCGCGCGAATACTACTTTGATCCCAGATCCATCCTAGTAATGAAACTGATTTTGGACAAACAGTGGTTTTTTTTGCTGACAAATTAAGATCGTTTTTTGTGCAAAGCTGCTAGTACCCTTGACCAGTTATCGTAAAACTCTTCAATTGTGTCGCCGCCGCAGTAAAGATCGTCGGCAAGTTTCGCGACGCGACCTTCTTCGGTTAGTTGACCCAATACTCTACACATCATTTCCTCTAACGCAGTTTCTGAGCCTGGCATGCCCATCGCAGACCGTGCATACACAAAAACGCCACGAAATGGTGAAGCGACACCGCAGTACTTCTTGGACACTTTCGAAAGGGGTAGTTGGTAAAACGCGTTCGTGGGATCTGTGGAAATGATGTAATTCCATTGGGCAATCAAGCGCAAAATGGTGTCAACATCCGGCATAAGCGACAGTGGGGGCTTACTATAACGCCCAACATCGGCAAAAGCAGTAACGAGACGAAACGATCCGTTCGATTTCTTAACTAAGAAGGACGGATTCACGTATTCGACAGTTATACCAATTCTAATTCTGACAAACACACCCATTCGCTCAAGTTCGTTAAATTTTGATTGCAGTTCAACAAGCCTATCGCGCGAATACTGGGGTACTCTACCCTTGTGTTGTGGAGGTTGGACGGGACCCATGTTGACGACTGCTTTAAATGGACCCGATTGTCCATTGTAGCCAGGAAATTCGGGACTAAAGACAGTGTCATACTGTTTTAGTAACTCACGAAATTTTTCCCTAGAGGAAGCTGATAAGAGTTGATCCGGGTCAACCTGAACCTGATCGGAAAAGGGGGTTTCCGGGATTTCGGTTGCTCTATAATTCAAAGTCTGAACATTCAAGGAAGGACCTGTGAACTCATTTGGGATCATCACTCTTTGGACCTGACAAAAATGTTCATTTTTCTTTAGGATCTTAGGAGAGGAAGACATATTGGGAATCCTGATTTTTCCGGAAACAACTTGCAATAGATCGGGCTGTGGCCAAATGTCAGAATAATTACTAGATATAACACGTGGTTCTAAGGCAATTTCCGGTTCGTCTATAATACCGTGGGGTGATTTCAACTTCAATGAATTCCCCTGGCCAAATAGTGGTAGTGTGAGGTGGAGCGCGCAGTACGTGCGCTCTGCGAATCGTATGTTGACTCAAATTCTTTTCGGGGGAACCGTAACTGTAAATGAAATCATCACCTACGATTACTTGATGTTTCGCAGGTCTAACACTCACATCATTAATCTCCATAAATGGTGTCCCAGCTAATATTTCAACGTCAAGTGACTATACAACCATTCCTTCAAATGTAAAAGATCTATCATCTCTAGTGAATATAATATAACTTCGCCAATGACTTTGAGTGGTGATTGGCCATCTGCCTGCCGTGCTGACTGGGAACTTTTGGACATTACGATGCCGAATTTTTTAACGGTAGAATGGCTAATCAAGTTTCCTGTAGCACCACTATCTATGGTGATGTGTGCTACATGGTGGGCATAGAATGCGTTGAGATAAGGTGATTGTCTTACTTGTACACGTAATGTTGTTGCCGGTTCCGAATGTGAAGGGCCAGTATTTTCTTCCTGAGGAAATTCAGAAGTATCGTCCACGACCTTCGTGATCTGTCTAGCTTTTGCCAAGAATTTACGATCTTGGTCGGGTAAGAATCGACACTCACTTAAAAAGTGATTAAAGTATGGTCGCTTAGCTTGCTGACATTTAGGACAAACCTTAGTTGCTCGGTTAGGTTTGGTTGTGGTTCGCCCATTGCTAGCCTTCGGATTGCCTCTAGAAAATAAAAACTGGTCACCTGTGCTTGTTCGCATAGTTCTGGTGTGGATCTCGAGAAGCAGAGATTCCAAAGCTTGGGAGATTTCAGGTTTTATGGAAGCAAGAGTGCGTGTTCTCAATTCCGTGCCATAACGTTGTTTCACAAGTTTGGGCAGGTCGTGGTGGATGAGTCTCAACCAACTTAGTACCACCAGATTTTCCAATGTTGGCGAGGCTTCTTCATCTTCGGTAACGTCGACACCATGATGTGTGATATTTCCACCTTGTCGTAGTAAGTTATCTTCAACAAAAGCTGATAGGCGTTGGTAAAGATCTTCTGCCTTTTCATCAGATTCTAAATGGATATCGTTAAAGTCAATAAAGTGAGCTCCAGTAGATTGGAAGCCATAATGTAACGAATTAACTGCCATATGTATTCAAAAGAAGTAGAATTTTTCACAATAGAATTGCGGGATATTATCGGGCAGTAATTTGCGATCTGTCCCAACATCAATTCTAACATGGTCACTTTTTGGTCTGCTGTTCTTCTTGATGCTTTGGGGATGCTGTTACCATCGTCGGTGAAACCTCTGCGGGGTGAATTTCTTGACCTCTTACCCCATGTCCTTCCGGCTACTAGAAAAGGGGCGAAGTTGGTGTCTAGCGATAGCGAATACAGCAAATTTTGCCTCCAGTTTTCGAAGGAGTTGACTGTTTCGTTTTTTGATAAACACCACTGCTTCGGAGCCCTGTGAGAATTAGCCGTGGCTGACTGTGAAATATACTATAAGTTAAAGACCAAACCTTGAGTTTAATGCCCTTCTTGGCAGTCTTGTTGATCGCAATATATGCGCAGCGTGTTCAGGGTTGTTCTCGTTGGTAGAAGGATGTTTCCGGCGATTCTTTCGGAGATGTAAGTTCGAAAGAAAACTCTGCCACCACGCCAGTTAGTTAGGACATAACCCGTTCCACGTTGATCAACAACAAGTCAAGGTTAATAGTAAGACTTTATGTAGAAAACCATGACAAGACTTCAAGTTATTAACAGGACAGTAGTTGGAAGACAGAATGGCTAGGTTTACTTGTGCTACATTGCACGTGACTTAAAGAAGGCGAAATTGATTAGTGAAATACATCTTATGGCGTAAAGTTGAAATTTACACTGAAGGTACAAACCCGTCTGAAGTTGTTTTGTTCCAAATTTCAGGTTCCTATCTCAAAAACTCTGCCAGTTACAGCACTTTTAGTCTCAGACTTTTTTCCCCAGACCAAAATATAAGCGATTTTCCTCTTGAAATCAAGGGTGCAAATTTAAAGTCGAATTTCTCCAAAGTTTGAAAAAATTTCAAATTTCTGTTTTCTACTGAAATAGACGGAGGAAATGATAAGCTTTCACTACAAACAAAAATTGTACCTCTCGGGTGAAAATTGGCTGAGTTATGGCCATTTTAGTGCAGGGTGGGGGTCGGCAGGCTGCCTATACAGTCTAGTTGCACTGGTTGGAGTGAAGGCCAAAACTTTGACAGGCTACCGCTCGTACACTATCAGAGATGTAAAGTTGATATTTGCACAGCAGGTACATACCCATCTGAGGTCGTTGTGTTCCAAATTTCAGCTTCCTATCCTATCTTGCCAGTTACAGCACTTTGAGTCTCAGGCTAATTGGTGTTAGCTCAGGAAGGCGTCCTATTTTGTTCAAAGATATGATTTCCGCGTATGAAATGAAAGAGCACTTCGTTGCGCATCTTCTCAAAACAAATTGGTTGGGGAAAAGATCACACGGGGGGCCTTAATGGTCCATAGACAAGATCTACCTTTCTCGCTTATGGTTACAAAAGGGTTAAGATGAGGGTAAAGGCTACTCGCTCGCTTACTCATCCATTCATTCAGTGCAGTGGTTGCTTTGGCCAATTTTCTCATAGTAGGGTTTTTTGATTTGTTTATTATTTCATTTCAAGTTTATCAACTTAATGTGGATTGTTAATGGAAACAGACTTTTTTCATTCTTTTAAGAGAATTTGGATGGCCCTGAAAAGGGCCGTTTAGTTGGAGGTTTTTTGGCCAAATTAGGGTTAGCTAGGGTTATGCCATTCTATATTTCACATATCTCTTTGGTATACTTAAAATGATAGAAAAGACAGTGCTTGACACAAATTGGTTAGGGAAAAGCTCACACGGGGGGCTTATGGCTACAAAAGGGTTAAAATGAGGGTAAAGGCAAGTAGGGTTAGCTAGGGTTAGGCCATTCTATATTTCACATATCTCTTTGGTATACTTAAAATGAAAAGAAAAGACAGTGCTTGACTTGGTAAAAAAAGAATTTCCAAAAAGCTTCCACTATGGTTTAAATCTAATATTTTGTATTTTACCATTGTTATTCATTGTTATATCCTTGTTATTAATATCAAAATGTAAACAGACAATGTTAAAGGAACGCTGTTAACATTTGTTTTAGCAATCCTACTTAGTTTCGGGAAACGAGAATTTTTTTTTTTAACTAAAAAAGCTAATCAATTATATTGTTCACAATTCACTGTCATGTTATCCAGAACTATTCGCAATTAAAACTTAAAAATGACGGTTCGTCTTTTCTTGAGATTCAGCCATAACATTGAAAAGAAATACATTGAAATCGAAATCGAAATTAAATTTCGAATTCGAGATATGTTTGAAGGGGTTATGCTATATTATATAGTTGTTCTAGTAGCCTTACTTCTGATAACTATTTAAAGACATGTACACTCAAGACACAAATCAACTGCCGAAAATGACGATTCAACTATGTCAATATTGTTTGTGTGCAGTAACAGTCAAGCGGATGTGGATAAAATGTAGTGGTCTACTTTCAGTTTGGCTTGCTCAAGATTTTCATGGTCATGATGTATTTAAGTTTCGTCCAGAAACTGAGTATTGGCAAGGCTTTCACGTGACATATTGGAAAGTTTTCAACGAGATTTCTGAAAAAGTTATAGAAGGTTGAATTTCGTGATTTAACATGGAAACAAATGGCAAATGAATTACCGGTCTAGTCGATAGTATGTCAATGGTTTCGATAACTGCCGAGGATTTAATATATATTAGTAGTAAACGTTTTCGATAGGGCCTACTAGTAATAAAATTTTTGCAAAGGATTTTATTAGGTCTACTTTGTCCCACGACGTGTACAACCAACATTTTGATTTTTTATTTTTTGTAGTGAGCCGTGTAGCCCATAGAAAGCCCTTACAATATACATCTCTGAAAGTAATTGAACAAGGTATTTGTGGTCCGAAAAATCAATTAGATTACGTCCCTTAGCTTTGCTCTTCTGTAATTGAAGTACGTTTTTCACTGTCGTGGTACATTTGCGCGGAGTGTTGGAAATATAAGTAATAAATATTTTGTGTAGATGTGTAAGGTTTGTATAAATTTACATACAAGTGTACGCCTATATCATGATTGTTTGATAGAGACTTTAATTAATAGATATCTGTGGTATGCGATTGGACAGACAGTAGGACTGGAATCAATATAGATCAACTCTGACTACATTAGCTCTGAATTGTAGTTTTCTTCTCATATTGAAATCAAATAAAATTTTCAACTGTGTGGTATTTGTCTAAGAATGTCTTAGTGTCCATCATAGCTTCAATGATTCTTCACTTGAAATAGACACACTTTCTTCCCAGAAAATTCATAAGAAAATGACCCACTTTTTGTAAATTTACCCTTCAAATGAGTTTATATTTTCATCAACTCAAAGTGGCCAAAGACTTAATAGGCCTACTCCCAGTAGACTAGGTCTGGATTGATTACCAACAAGTTCAGATTGATTATCGAATAATCAATTGATATCTAAATATTTCAACTAATAACCCCTGTAAATACTAACTAATTTAATAAAATGTCAAAATTTAGTTTTGTGTCACAGAACTAGCCTAATAGTAATAGAAGTAGGCTTATAATATAATGAATATTTTTATTGCTTTTAGAGGTTATTATAGTTTATTGTGGGTAAATTACGTGCTGAAGGGAAACTATGAGATAACTAGGCCTGCTTGTTAACACTGGTACACTGCTTTAATGTTCCTATGACATGTAATCGATTATGATAATTGATAATCAAAATTATATATTTCTAGTGACAATAATTAAATTTAACTCTCAGTAGTATTGTAATTGATATTTCCATTCATAGGAAAATAATTGCCAAAATTCAATTCAGTAAACATTGTAGTCAGAGATTAGGCACATTTATTAAGAAAGGAAGACAATATCCTATCAATGTCATTGGGATTAATTGTTTTGTTACTTTCAGCGTTCATTGCAACAACATTTGAATTCTGAGAAATGGCTAAGAAATCAGATATGGTTGATGATATAGCTCATAAGTTACATACATGGTCCATGAAAGAAATGCAGTTCCATCCACAAGGACAATACATCAATTCTAAACTTCCTGTCTATGAAGATTTTAAAGAGTAAGTTAAGTTATTTGCACTTTTCTAGAGATAGATATAATATCAATGAAAGAATGGTGATATCTTATTTCAATTTGGAATGAAGGTCTAGTTAATCAAATGGAACCCCAAACAGATGACTTATATGTTACAGATTGTGCATCTTATGGATCCGATGGATGGATCAAAAAGATTTTGATTCTTCAAATGATTTCTGCTGTTATTGCAAAAGCAAAGTACAGTATGAACTGTGTAAAAATCCAACTGCATAGGCTATAGTTGAATCAACTCTAAATGATGCATTTTCTAAATCTGCTGATATGTCTTTTTAGTATATGTCGAGGTCCTATGGCAGAAATCTGGAAGTTTGTAACTGATAATGTATATTCTGTTCAGTAAGTTACCATAATAAATATGATTGTCAGACATCACTCTCAACAAATTTTCTAAAAACAAAATCAACTAATGGAGCAATAATTTAAATATGGCATGGTTTTTATTGTTCATTCAATGTATGAAAATAAAATGCAATCTGATTTCTGATTTCCTGTCTGATATCTGTGGTTCCTGTTGCCAGACCCTTCAGCATTGTTTTCATTGAACAAACAATATGTGAATATAACATGTACATCTTCACGAAAACTGAGCAGGGACCCAGAAAAACCAAACCATTTTATGGCTTCCTTTCAAGTCAAATGATAGTGATTTTGGACTTACTGGAACTAGAACTCTTTCTGTTGAGATCTGTGAATTAGTAGCACAGGGTTTTCATTTTTAGGACTTGCTTATATTGTGTTTTTATTTTATTTTTTAGAACTGTAAAGAAAGTAAAAGGAAATCTAGCTCTGTATCCTTTTTGACTACAAATGTTATTTGGCTTATTTTTTTTTTTATAAAGTACCGGTATATGAATTAAGCTTGTCTTAAGATAGCAAATTAGGGCTACTAGTTTATTATCCCAGCATAAAGAGGGCCAATGTAGAAAAAACTTTTTGACTCTTGCTTGTGAAGATATAATTGATAGTTTAGGTTTTATACCATTATAACTATTGATTGTTTTTGTTCAGTTCCATGTCTCTCAACAAATCTTATGACTAAAAATTTTCCGTGTAGACTTGGCATTAACAAGTATTTCATTTACAAGTTTTTTTTAAAGTTTATTGAAAGATTTTCAGTAATCAGAGACAGGGTATTATAATTACAGACATTACGTCGTTGGCAATTCTCTGTATTTTCTATTAATCTCAATAAGCTTATACTGCAGTGATTGATAAAATTAATTCTTTTGTCTTCAGGATTGAGTCCAACCTCATTTCTCCCTGTCAGTGATGCAGGTACAAGGGCTGACATGGAAAAAGCATCTAGTCGTTCAGATGGAACTATAAACCGCAGCCCAGTGTCCTGCTTGGTGTTGCTGTCTTCATTAGCCCACATGGTGCAGAAAAGTAGGATGTAAAACCCCATTGATTTCATTTCATTAGGGAGTTATGTGCTGTGTTGTATTATCAATTAATCTATACTTATTTTCATTATTTTGAATCAATATCTTTTGTCAAGCAGTGAAACTTTACAGTTGTTTGAATCCACCAAATCACATGATCTTGGGCATTGCTCAAGTAAATATCCACCAATATTTATTCTAGATATGTTTGATATTGAATTTATTCCTTAATGACTGGTCAGAAAAGGCAAGCAGACCCACAATAAATATTCAGTACAGTTTCAGTCTGGTTCACAATTTAATGAAGAGAAGGAGAAATTATTTGAGGAAAGGACTCAACTGTCAGGACAACTGACAAATACAATATCTGATGTCAGCCATCTTGAAAATGATTTAAAACGACTTGAAAGAGATATCTTGAAAACAGGTATGATGTCTTTTTTTCTTTTTCGAAGAATGTGTTTGTGGCAATATTTGTGAAATCTGTTATTTTGTTCGAGGCTTTATTCACGCAAAACTTAGTTAAGATCAAATCCAGATTTTCTGAAATACAGTGATCTGATTAGATAATCAGACTAGATTTAATTTCCATTTTCTTGACTGACCAATCAGATGACTGGTACACTAAAATAAAGTAAAGTTTTCAAGAAAAAGGCCCCTGTATATAATTATAAAATCTCTACATGTCACTTTTGGGAGAGATAGTTGCTTATAGACATGAGAAGAGATCGTACTTTCAAAATGTTCTTAACCTCACTTATGTCTCTCTCAGTGATGTCAATCAGAGAGGCTGACATGAAAACCAAGACCAGAGGGTCAGATGAGAAAGATAAAAGCTAAAGGCCTTTGACTTAATTAGAGATCTCACAGAGTTAGAAATGTGCTGTCTGCAGAGGGTACGGAAACAAAAATCTTAAACTTTCATTTTATTTACTACTTATAGAGAGTGAATATAGAAAAGCTGTAGATAATATAGAAGATCTAGAGAAGAAATCTAGTCTGTTAGAGATTTACTCACAACAATGTCAAGAAACTGTCTTAAATTACGACCATTTTACAGAAAAATTACATGCTAAAACTAAAGCTATTACACAAAAGACACAGTAAGTATATACTTCTAAAACTAGAGCTATTACACAAATACACAGTAAGTATATACTTCTAAAACTAGAGCTATTACACAAATACACAGTAAGTAGATGCCTCTAAAGCTAGAGCTATTACACAAATACACAGTAAGTATATACTTCTAAAACTAGAGCTATTACACAAATACACAGTAAATATATACTTCTAAAACTAGAGCTATTACACAAATACACAGTAAGTATATACTTCTAAAACTAGAGCTATTACACAAATACAAAGTAAGTATATACTTCTAAAACTAGAGCTATTACACAAATACACAGTAAGTATATACTTCTAAAATTAGAGCTATTACACAAATACACAGTGAGTATATAATTCTAAAGTTAGAGCTATTACACAAAAAACACAGTATGTATATACTTCTAAAACTAGAGCTATTACACAAATACACAGTAAGTATATACTTCTAAAGCTAGAGCTATTACACAAAAAACACAGTATGTATATACTTCTAAAGCTAGAGCTATTACACAAAAAACACAGTATGTATATACTTCTAAAACTAGAGCTATTACACAAATACACGGTGAGTAGATGCCTCTAAAGCTAGAGCTATTACACAAATACACAGTGAGTAGATGCCTCTAAAACTAGAGCTATTACACAAATACACAGTGAGTAGATGCCTCTAAAACTAGAGCTATTACACAAATACACAGTGAGTAGATGCCTCTAAAACTAGAGCTATTGCACAAATACACAGTGAGTAGATGCCTCTAAAGCTAGAGCTATTGCACAAATACACAGTGAGTAGATGCCTCTAAAACTAGAGCTATTACACAAATACACAGTGAGTAGATGCCTCTAAAGCTAGAGCTATTACACAAGAAACACAGAACGTAGATACTTCTAAAACTAGAGCTATTACACAAATACACAGTAAATATATACTTCTAAAACTAGAGCTCTAAAACTAGAGCTATTGCACAAATACACAGTGAGTATATACTTCTAAAACTAGAGCTATTACACAAATACACAGTAAGTATATACTTCTAAAACTAGAGCTATTACACAAATACACTGTAAGTATATACTTCTAAAACTAGAGCTATTACACAAATACACAGTAAGTATATACTTCTAAAACTAGAGCTATTACACAAAATCATAGCAGATAAGATACTTTCAACTGGAGTTGACTTCAACTGGATTTGTATATTCATAATCCATTTGTTGGCTTTCGTATTGTAATCTAATTATGCAGATGGAGATGATGTTTTGATTTATTTTTTGTGGGTGACTTCTTTTACCAAATATGATTCTTTGTTTTTAACACAATTTAAATAAGAATTTCATCAGATCATGAATGAAAATGGAATAATTCGCTAGATATGTATTTTGATCAGATAGTTAATATTGTGATATTAATTGCAGAGTTGATGTAAGTGGTGAACCATTATTTATAACTAAATCGAGTGACCAACCAGATAAACGTCTAGAAACAGTTTGTGGGGTTAGGTCCTTTAATATTATTGTTCCTTTTATTCTTAATCTTTTTTTAAATCATCATAATAATTGCTAATGAATCTTGAAGTTGCGATTCGATACACTATACGATACTCATCCAACGATATACGATTATTTTGATATCATGATTCATTATGTGAGAAGGAAAGAGAAAAAATATAAATTTGTATAATTACTTACAATTTTGGTCAGTATTAAGCACTTGAGAAGATTTAGAAGTAAGGAATTGTGCAAAAAATCTCAATTTTTAAAGTCAGAAGTGAATTTTTGCAAATTTTAATGTGAAAATCATACTTGGAAAATGAAAACATGACACAATTTCTTATACACACAAGGATTCTGTGTCATATGTTATTATAGGGGGCTAAGAAATAATCGTGCCAATACGTCACTATATTTTTATCCAACGCAATGCATCAATAAGAAGGAAAGAATCGCGGTTCAACGATTCATCGGTGACTCGTTGCAGCCCTACTAAAGTTAATTTAGGAATAATGATAATAATGGAGGCACTGACGTGAATAAAATGTTTGTCATTCAGATGGTGAAATAAATTCTGTTCAGAGTTATCTCTCTTGATTAGCACAGTGCCAAACAGAAGTGTAGAACATAAACTCTATTCTATTTTGATTTCAGAAAAATGTCAGAGAAAGTTGTGAAAAGTTTGAGGAGTTTTTACATGATACATTTAAAGGAAATTTTTCTTCAGACAAGACAGTCTTGTAAGTATATTGTTGAACAAAGGGAGTATTAAATAATAGAAAAAAATGAAATAGGACTACCGATTTGTACAAGCCTATATGATAGTAATTTGACAGAATTTGATTTTGTTAACATTAGTACAATATTTTAGTATTATATACATTATTTGGTATATAATGACTCATATTACGTTCATGAAGACAGACATCTATATTATTTGAACTAATATTGTGATTTGAAATTTTACTTTAAATTGAATTTGTCCTGTCTAGGACAATCTAAAGTATATCAATTCCCATGTCTTTTGTCAACATTATATCAAATAGATTTCCAAATTGAGACCTAGTATGACAATCTCATCCATTTTAGCAAATTACATGCCTTGAAAAATTTGACATATTTCATTATGTAATCCAATAATATGAACCCTGAGCTTAGTACCTGAAATTAAAAAATGTTCTTATTGCAGTCAGAGCAGGAAAGATCACCTATGGAGTGAAGTAGAGAAGGTATTATCAGAGTTTCTAACTATACAGATAGTTAATGGGTTGATAGTCAATACACAAGATTCATCACTAAATGTACGTGATAAAACAAATAAGATTAATATTAGAAAAGATGCTGAGAACCTGAGGTATAAGTCATTTTTATTTTAATTACTTCAACTTCATTTTGAAACCACACTGGCCTGGTGACATCAGTAGCACTATTTAGTTTTGAAGTAGAATAAATACTTCTTTACACAGATCAAACAAACACTTTTTATTGTGCTGATTACAACTTACACTACACCAAGATAAAGTTGTATGCTCTTGTTTTTGTGTTCATTGTTGAATTGTTCTAAAATGTGTAAACCATACATGATGATAATCATCTATTGATGTACACATAGATGACAAACATAAAAGACAATAAAAACCCTGAAGTAACATACAGATGAATAAGATTATCATGTTAACAAGTGAAGTTCATGCTCAATCCAGGCTCCTTTACTCATGCATTACAATATATATATTTTATGTCAACAAAATGACAGTCATTTTGTTGACGTAAAATATATATATTGTAATTATGTGCACTTTTTCATGGCTTGACTTGACCATTAGAATCAAATAAGATATTTCTTTACAATACGCACTTTCATTTTTGATCAGCCAGACTGATAATGTGGGCATTACTACTTGTATAAATGTATGTTTGCTCTGACTTATATCAATGTCTAGATTTCAGTATGGTAAAGGGGAGTTAACTGATGTTTCTTTACCTTCTTCATCTCTACACAGTGTTAGACAATTATTAGAGGTAAGAAAGGAACACTATAACAATTGAGGTTCTTGTGTACTAGTTGGACCATGATACAACCTGTGGCTATGGAATAAATCTTTGATTATCTGTAGTTTATGGCCTTTATGGATTTTCTTGGTAATTTGAAGTAACTACCATATATATGTATGTAATATTTGTAATTCTTGAATAAATATTGTTTAAAAAAAAAAATAAGACTACATCTTTGTCATTTGATTTCAGCAAAGTCAGTTATTACATGTGAAGAGATTTATGGAAGCTGAAAAACATAAGAACCAGGCGTGGAGAGGTGGTCAAAGATTAGATGAAATAAAGAAAGCTATAGATAAATTATTGGTACAGAGATTTGAACAGAGACCAGGGGAATTAAAACTAGCTAGGTAGGTATAAAGAGTCAACAGAAGCCTAATATACAGAAACCTTCTTAAGTCAAAATGAAATGACTAAAATACCTTAAAGAGAACCTAAGGAAGTTTTCTAGTCTGTAGAATTTTAAAAGAGGAAACCTGACGTCTGTCCTCTTGCCCCTTTCACGTCTGATGCCTGTGGTTTCTGATTCCAGAAAATTTAGTATTTAGAAAAAGAGTGTTTATTTATTGTCACAGATATTTTGCTTGTGTGGCCTTCACAAACATTTTACTTGGGCTGTCTTAGGGATGGTAATTTTAACCAATTTCATGGTACGTTGATAGGTTTTTTACCGATCACGTGCTGTTATTTTTTGACCCACTACCTTATCATATTTGGGTTTTCTTTTTACCATCTGATATGTGTCATAAACCCTTGGAATTGAGCTTCTATTTGCATGATGTAAAAACAAAACTTACAGTGTTGATGTCAGTTTAATTTGGATGTTAAAAGATTTTCTCTCAGAGCAAATGTTACAGTTATAATCTTGAAAAGTGAGAACAAAAAGTAAATGGACAAAATCTTCTTAAAATTAAAATATCAGGTATTGCTTTTTGTAGGACATTAGTTGAAACTAACCTTCAGTTATCAGCAGATAGAGCTGGTCTACATTCCTTACTAGCAGAATGTGAACAGCTTAGAGAGGCCATAAATAAAGGTGTACAGGAAAGAGAGGTGTTGCAATCAAAGTTCTTTAAAATCAAAACATTTAAAGAATTAACAGTAAGTATTTTAAAGATTTTCTTGTTTGTGAAATTTTACTGATAATAACTATTTAGATGTCCTTTAGGATACTACATACATTTTTGAGATTGTTCTACAACTTCTTGGAGGTAATGAATATGATATTTGTTTCACGAAAGAAAGCATTCTGTCAATTCTGATATAAGTTTAGGTTGAGAACAACTTGTGTTGCCTCAGTCTGTCAGTAATTTTCTAAATATTAAATAAAAAGCATGTCCAAATTTTTGATTCCATGGTTTATTTTTGTGTCTTGATGATATGAATTTGATTTGATCGGTTATTATAGTTTATTGTGGGTAAGTTATGTACTGAAGGGAAACTTTACGGAAGAGTTTACTTTTACTAGTAGTAGATGACTGAAAATCTTAGCGACAATGATAAATTATTTCCATTATTTTACCCAGTCTAACTGTCAATTCATTTGGATGAGTTAGCGTATTTTGCTTTGCATCCCGCTTGTTTTAATTTATGTGTTATTTTTTCTTTCTAGGAACAAAAACAGAATTTGATACGAGGATTAGTAAAACAGAATTTAAATGCTCAATCAAGATTAGAAACACAGAAAATTGAGGTATGAGTGAATTTGAAGTAAAATTAATTTATGTATAGTGATCTCTATAAGTACACTCTCTGCTGATAAAGATTAATTTTAGCTATAAATATCTTATTTCAGATTAAAAGTCAAACAGAAAACTGTTATAGAAAAACAGGAGGTCCTCTTGCAGTCTTTGCAAATTCAACAGCAACCACATTTATGACAATATTTCACAAACTGCATTAGCTCAATAGCGTCAGAAAAGTAGAATCCAATTCATATAATTTTCCAGAAAGTTTATATACTGTAGTTATTATGAAAACATTTGTTCTTACTGTTTCAGAACACTAATTATATAGAGAAATCTTTATCATCACATTATACTACTACTGTAGCTGTTTCTAATAGTTTAAAAAGTCGTGTTCAACAAGAAATAGATAAACTTTCTAGCTTGTCTCTACCTTATTTAATGTTTCTACATCTTGATAAGTAAGTATAATACATATACTGTTATAAATAGATAAACTTTCTAGCCTGTCTCTACCTTATTTAATGTTTCTACATCTTGATAAGTAAGTATAATACATATAATGTTATAAATAAATAAACTTTCTAGCTTGTCTCTACCTTATTTAATGTTTCTACATCTTGATAAGTAAGTATAATACATATACTGTTATAAATAGATAAACTTTCTAGCCTGTCTCTACCTTATTTAATGTTTCTACATCTTGATAAGTAAGTATAATACATATAATGTTATAAATAGATAAACTTTCTAGCTTGTCTCTACCTTATTCAATGTTCCTACATCTTGATAAGTAAGTATAATACATATAATGTTATAAATAAATAAACTTTCTAGCTTGTCTCTACCTTATTTAATGTTTCTACATCTTGATAAGTAAGTATAATACATATAATGTTAGAACTAGATAAACTTTCTAGCTTGTCTCTACCTATCTTGATAAGTAAGTATAATACATATAATGTTATAAATAGATGAACTTTCTAGCCTGTCTCTACCTTATTTAATGTTTCTACATCTTGATAAGTAAGTATAATACATATAATGTTATAAATAGATAAACTTTCTAGCTTGTCTCTACCTTATTTAATGTTTCTACATCTTGATAAGTAAGTATAATACATATACTGTTATAAATAGATAAACTTTCTAGCCTGTCTCTACCTTATTTAATGTTCCTACATCTTGATAAGTAAGTATAATACATATAATGTTATAAATAGATAAACTTTCTAGCCTGTCTCTACCTTATTTAATGTTTCTACATCTTGATAAGTAAGTATAATACATATAATGTTATAAATAGATAAACTTTCTAGCCTGTCTCTACCTTATTTAATGTTTCTACATCTTGATAAGTAAGTATAATACATATAATATTATAAATAGATAAACTTTCTAGCCTGTCTCTACCTTATTTAATGTTTCTACATCTTGATAAGTAAGTATAATACATATAATGTTATAATAGATAAACTTTCTAGCTTGTCTCTACCTGAGTATTAAACCAACGCTTGTGCATGTTACAGAACCCGTGACAGTTGGATATAGAAAGTGCTGTTCTAGCCAAATTTCCCTCATTGTACACTGTTTGGAATTGCTTTAATGGCTAATGGCTTGCTAAAGTTGCAGAAATAAAACTCCATTTTCTTTTTATTTTAATCAGTTCAATAAATTTTAATTTTTATTCATTTATTTTCAGTGGTACTAGAGTATCAGCATTAGATCTTTCAATAAATCACTTCCACCATCCTGAATGTATGTCAGTTAGACGTTCATTACAAGAATTATTACAGTTATTACACTTTAAACCATATAAGGTAAGCATTGTAGTGAAACATTTGTTACAACAATGTCTTGAAAATTGATCTGTTGAACCATCCTTCAGCTTTTGCAAGCTAAAACCCTTTGACAGTGAAAATTTGTAGGATAATGCTTGGAGCAATCTCATATCCCTCATTGCACACCATAGGGCATTACTTGTCTGATTTATCTAATAAAGAGCATAAAAGTTGGCTGTAAAACTCTATTACATTTATTCAATTCACCATTTAATGACATGCTATATTTCCCCTCTCATGGCAAAATTTCCCTCATGCACACAGCATGGCATTGCCAGCCTTCATTTATCTAACCAGGAGCATAATTAAAAGTAAAATTCTATTTCATTCATTCAATTCTCCATTTAATGATATATTGCCACTAACATAGTAAAATTTCACAGTCTGGTATTGCAAGTCTTCATTAACCAATCAGGTATATTAAAGTATAAACTCCATTCTATTCAATATTTCATGATATATTCATCAAATATTTTGACACCGATTTGGCTAAGATTATTTTGCATTGTTGCAACATGCGTTTTTTCTCGTCAGGATGAGGTGTGAATCATTACAGTGGCAACAGATTTTTCCAGATATATTGGAGGGTAAGAAATGGTGCGCACTATATTCACAATTATATGGTTTATGTTTTAGGCTCCAGAATGTTTATTGATTTGGTGTGAGAAATTAAAGAGTGATATCAACCATTATAATCATCTAGTAGAAAGTCAGGATTCTGCCAGTCAAAGAGTCTATGGACCTCATAAAGACAAAATTGATACCATTGAAAATATCACAGGTAGGCCCTACTCTTGTGAAATACACATTACATACTGGTCAAACAAAGATCATGGCACAGAAATTGATCTAGTCAAGAAAATGAATAGTATTGATCATCGATTTTTATTGTTGAAGCTAAGATTTAAAAAAAAAAAAATGAATATTCAGTTTTCCTGCTCGTATTTATCTCAAATCCATGTATGAATATCATGATACAAAGGGTGTAATACAGATTTAACTTATACAAGTCATGTACTTGTCTGCCAACTTTACATGAAAGATATCTTAAATCTCTGTTTTTATACATCTTGTTTACAGGCTATGATATTGTTGGGAAGGTGGTCATTTTTATTCATATGTGTACAAGCTATCTTTAGTATCCTCAATACTTCTGTTAATGAAGAATTCTTCAATTGGTTTAGATAATAAAATGTTATCTTATTGAATTATATTTCAGTATTGATACAAGATCTTGTGGCTGGTATAAATAGCACATGTTCAAATTTCTTACAGCACTATTTTCATACTTTATTCTAAAGAATATAGAATTTGGGTGGAGAGGGGGGAATGATTTTTCAGTGCACAGTTCAATTTTTGCACCAAGCTTGATTTTATTGCAGTTGCTGTCGACACTGTAATTTCAGAATTTTTTTTTTTTTGAGTTTTTGCACTTATTTTGATTCAATACAAAACACTGTGCCATTTTTTTTTAAGCCTTAATTTCTAAAAATGCTTCAATTCAAAGGAAATTTTCATGCCCTAATATATATATAGAGATACTTATAACTTTTGCAATATTCTTATGATGAGATTATGATGTAATTATATCAAAAATATTCGAACAGTGGCATCATAATCTGACCATGTTTTGGGGGTACTACTGGAACCACAAATATCCACCCTTTATTGTCCAAAAGGCACAACCCTGAACAGATTTTGATGGAAGAAAGTGAAAATCAAAGGATTCCGCCATGCTTTCAATAGTTTTTGTGAATATTTAAAATTGTTTTATTTGCAGACCTATGTCAACAAGTTAGTGAACATGATAAAGAACAGTCAGAGAAACTCTTACCAGCTCTACAGAAATCTATCTCCACCTCAAAAGCTGGGTTAGCTGAATGTAGCCAAATTAAAGAAGACATACAGGCTTGGTGAGTATAATCCTTTTAGATTGGAATCATACTACTAGAATCTAGATCTACATTTAAAAAGGATTTATATTTCTAGATCTGCATTTAGAAAGGAGTTATATTTCTAGATCTGCATTTAGACAGAAATCATATTTTTATGATCTGCATTTAGAAAGGAATTATATTTCTAGATCTACATTTAAAAAGGAGTTATATTTCTAGATCTGCATTTAGAAAGGAGTTATATTTCTAGATCTACATTTAAACAGAAATTATATTTTACGATCTGAATTTACAAAGGAATTTTATTTCTAGATCTGTTTTTAGAAAGGAACTATATTTCTAGACCTGCTTTAAGAAAGGAGTTATATTTCTAGATCTGAATTAAGAAAGGAACTATATTTCTAGACCGGCTTTTAGAAAGGGATCATACTTTTAGATCTGCTTTAATAAAAAAGAAATAATGTTTCTAGATTTTCATTTAGAAAGGAATTATATTTCTAGAACAGCTTTTAGAAACAAACCATTTTTAGATCTGCTTTTAGAAAAGAATCTGCATTGAGAAAGAAAGTATATTTCTAGATCTGCTTTTAGAAACGGAATCATATTTCTAAATCTACATTTTCTGATGAACACTAATGAATATTTTTCTATGTTTTATAGGATAGAGCAACCAGCACAGTTTACAACTCCATGGGTTATACAAAATGGACAGACCTATAAAGAGTGGTTAGAGAAATGGACAGTTCTTTGTACACGTCTTAGAAAAATACAATTACAGCAGAGAGATGGAAAATAGATATTTTGAATCAGTTTTGAACAGGGTACAAAGCATCTTCATCTCTGTCCTGGACAGCAAGATTATATCCTTAATTGATATGGAATCATTTCCTATTTACTTGTTATTCCGCAAAGTGTCACATGATTCATGATCCTTAATGTCCAAGGCAATCTTGCCTTTTTGCTCTTAATCATCACAATAGCAACATTGAAGATTTAGAATCTATTTATTACATGACTGTATATACATGTATTACAATACTAAATATATAAAATCCAATGAATAAAAGACCTATATTTTCGCAAATTACAGAAAGCTATATATTTGGATTCCCCAAACTGTATATGAATTGTTTTTCAATGTGTACTATATTTGTTGTGTTATTGAATAAAATATCTTAAGTCATTTTGCTTTCACTTTATTAATATCTGAAATCTTTCCAAGTCAACCTATGGCAGTGTTGCATGTTGAATCAACAAAACAAAAGGAATGGGAGAAATGCTGCTGTCTTAGGAGAAATATTTATCGAAGTACGCTGCACGGTACTGATCGTATAGATAAGCTCTATTGAGAGCAGAAAAGAAGGATATAAGACTCCGATGGATGCAGCTTGTAGTATGTAAACCTGCAAAAATTCGTTGCCGTATAGGAGGGACTAATTTGTGTCTAAAGAGAAACACTGTCATTATGAAAAGTGAACAATATGATGAAGCCAGTTAAGGCGACAGCTTCCGGAGACTTGGGTACAAAAGGGGGCAGACAAATGTCAAGCTGAATTCAAAATGTTACACCTATGTGGATGCATCCGGGAGCGTCTGATAGATCTGTCTTCAAAACAATCGAACTGATGTGGTTCATTCTGGCACATATTTGGTGGTATGAGCGTATAAAAATCACATTCTTGAATTTGTTAAAAATTTAAGAGGAAGTACAAACCACTTTCCAAATAGAGGGAGAGGGGGGGGGGGGGGTTCTTTGCTTTTAGGACGTCATACAAGAATTAATTTTAACAATTATGAAATTTAATTTGTAATAAATAATAACAATATAATACAATACAACAACATTGAGAAAATTAAACTGGTCACTATATACAATCACTGTGCAATAACAATTACATATTCAGACAACAATCGGCTGATCAGATTTGATGACATAAAAATGTATGTTTTATTTCATAAGGCGCAGTAAATTTTCCCCTCATATGCTATAATTCATAGTCCAGATTGAATGATTACATATTTTTATCCAAAGAGTATAAATTCTGTAATTCCGTCCTAATTTGTGCCAGTTGATCAATATGGATATCTAGATACCCAGATCCCAAGTCCTTGTTATCTATTGTATTTTGCTGAGCAAGGAGACTCAGTTCTGGACGTCGTTCCGTTCTAAAAGATGCAGCTCTTGACTTCGATCTTTTGACACCACATGACGGTCTGGCTGCTCTATTTAACGAATGGGAACGAATAGCAATTTTACGATGGAAATTTTTCCGTTCGTTGGAACTAGAACTTCTTTGAATCATGGCACGGCATCCCATTTTAGGTACAGGAGAAGCACAAGGTGATATAGGTGATGCTGGTTCCATGCTTTTGGGATTGATCACCATATTTTGGAGCAAATTTCTTAAACTGTCATCAGAACTGTATCCTGATTGACTTGCTCCGGAACATTCAGAATCACCATATCCACTACTTTCATCTTCTGAGGATAGTTCAGCAAACTCTTCCGGATTCAGGATGGGAATTCGTGATCGTGGCGATAAACGTTTCGGAACTTCTGATTTGATAGGCGTGTACTTTAATCCAGTAACATCCGATCTACTGCGGCACAGCGGAGACGTTTTACATATCAAATACGACGTCGGCATCAAAGTTTCCTTCAGCTTATTTTTGATGTGCACTGAGTTGACCCGTCTGGTTTGGCGTTTGATGGTATCATAGTCTATGATGTCACTGCTATCAAGATTAACTTGGCCACAAAGACAACCATCTGCACTATGGTCGGTTGATTTGATAGCTCGACATAGAGGACAAACTTGATTATTTAAAGGTTGTTCATCTTTAAAGCCTTGATCTTCGCTAAATATAGAGTCGTTGTCTTTTACAACAGATAAGCAGGATGGATCTCCACCAGAAGGTGCTGACGTACGTCGAGTTCTTTTCTTAATCCACTTCAACATG